TTGCTAGGGACTTGCCCGGCACTTGCTCTCTACCTCTATTTGTTATCTTTCTTCTATCATTGACAGTCCCTCTAGGTTGTGGGCTGCTTGCCTGTGTTCCTGAGAAGCATCTACGGTACCAGTCTATAGAGTGTGTTTTCTTTAGTGAATTACCGGTATGTTTACCGGTAATAAACTTGCACTGTTTTATGTATATGTTTGATTACATACAGCCTTGTGACAGTTTTCCTGCATGTCATAAGCATTTGAATATAAATTAAAATGTTAAAATCAAATCTGATATTGTTTTACCTTTTATTTGGTGTGTGGAAGGTGTGCGGAAGAGGGGGTAGTCTTATACGGCGAGTATATAACAAACTCTGTATTTTGAGTGGAAATGTTAGGGGGTCGTCTTATACGCCGGCAAATACGGTATGCTAAGCCAAGTAAGCCAGGCAGAAAAGACGAATATCACATGACCTTACTTTATGGAATCTAATAAACTGATGAACAAAATAAAAGCAGAGGCATGGATACATGGAACAGAATGATAGCTGTCAGAGGGAAGGGGGGAAGGAGAGACTGGATAAAAGGAGGGGAAGGGATGAGACAAAGCACATATATTCATAACCCATACACACAGATACAGTGTGGTGATCGCCAGAGGGAAGTGGCGATGGGGTGGGTGGAGTTGGGCAAAAGGGCGGAAAATGGAGACATCTGCAATAGTGTCAACAATAAAAATAAAGTAAAAAAAAAAGAAGACTGAATATTATTATAATCTTGAAAGTAGTCAGCCACATTGTAAAAAATAGATACTATAAAATGTCTACAGTCTCTAGGTGCTACTTCCTGTGTTATAAATAAATATATTGCTAGCCAATTACTGTTTCCCACAGACACTTTATTGTTTTGTTAATCCTCCCCTGAGGATATTTTTCCATTGAAAAGAGAGGGATGGGGGTGGTCAACTGGGGAAAACGAAGACATATGTAAAACTTTAGACAATAATTTAAAAAAAAAGCCCTAACTGGTTTGGCTCAGTGGATAGAGCGTCAGCCTGCGGACTCAAGGGTCCCAGGTTCGATTCTGGTCAAGGGCATGTACCTTGGTTGCG